GCATCGCTTCTAGTAACAGGTGCCTTACTAGTAGTAACAAGAAGCTATTTATTTAAATTTTGCTGTCCCAGGACCGTGGTCGAAGCCTCGAGGACACACGGGTCTTTTTCAGAGGCATGGCCATCCCACACCACTCGGATGGAGAAAAACAAGAAGGACCCTATACTGATCAATCAAGGAAAACTTGTGCAACATAGTGCAAACAGAACCGATAAACTAAGGAACATGTTGCACTTCATAGTGACATAGTGATCCAATAGGACTTCTGCAATAAGGAAAACATAGTGCAAAGCCTGGACAACAGAACCGATCCCCTTGGGTTTCAAAAGCTGCAGGCCTTGTAGCCGCCAGGATGGTGGCGGAGATCGCGCCGTCGCTCCAGCCCACCACATTGTAGGAAGGGATGCCTCTCACCATAAAACTGAGTAACCCATAAAACTCTTTTGCAAACCATACTCCATACTATTCCATACTGACTCATACTAATAATTGGTCTGTTTCTTTTTACAAACACCACAACGCGATAAACCGGCGTGGATGACGAGAGGGCACGCACAAAACGGGCCCATTCCGACCCATTGCGCAGCGGTTCCTGACTCAAACGCGCACACCCCGATGTTGATGACGGGCAGGGAGGACAGCGTTCGACATTGATGGCATTTGGTCCACTGGTGGACTTGATCAATTGCTGCAGAGATGTGGGGCGGGTGCTGTGATCTGCCAGAAGAAGGACTGCAAGCTCCTTTGCACTCCGCCCAAGATCTATTCTGCTCTATGACCTTCTTAGGTGTCGGATGCTGCTTTCAGGCTCCCACGTGACACTCATCTCAACATTCGGCGTGGTCTAAGACTCGCTTTCGCGGGTCTCTTGTGCACCAACTTTGGCGCTGTGCTGTAAGCAGCAAAAACAACGCACTCTCTGGAAGACGTGCAAAAAGAAAGAGCTATCAATGTTGCAAACTAGTTCTCTGTGGCACATGACTTGTTCAATGACAGAAGCACAACTACAACTACTTGCTCGCCGACAACTGGGCCTTCCAGTGGGAGGCGAGTGCAGCGGTCGACTATAACGTTATCAAACAGCTGCAACATGAATCTGTGCATCACAAGGGAATGTGATGGAATATGTGTGGCTCACAACATATTCTCAGTGTATGTACAAAGGAGTGGAGTAAACTGAGCCAGTTTCAACCTGGACAATAAGGCCCCCAGCCTCCAAAACCACAAACATGGCTGGCATATCAACACAGTAACAGTAACAAACATAGAAGGCCTAAGGAGTCCATGATGGCACCCGCATCTTGAGCATCCTCAGCACGTCAATTCGAGAACTTTCGAAACTAGCAAATACAGGAAGAAACTGCTGGCCGCTTGGGGCTTTCCAAACATGTGTCAACCTTAGGATAAGAAGAAAGGAGGCAAAACTGTGAGCAACACTTTCACCACTAAACCTGAAACCTGGAGCACAACAGCGTAACACCCAGTCTCTGGACTCTGTGTACGCACAACTCCAGGTGAAAACGGAGCGTGGAATTCCCACCAGTGTTGCGGCAGAACCTCCACACCAAACGCCAAACTCACCATCCACGCCCCAGGTCCACTCACCATCTTCTGCCAGGAGTCTAAATGATAGAAATCCGCTGGGTAGCGCCGCCCAGGGGGCCTCGACCTGGAACATCGAGTCAGACTCTTCTCATCGCCGTGTTGAAGTTGGTTCCGCTGGTTGGAAAAGCTTGGCGGTGATCGGTCTGTATGCTTCTTGGAAAACACATACAAAGCCATCCACATGTTTCTTTATTTACATACAAAGCAAAATCGCACTGACCACGACTATATATGCGGAATGCGGAAAAACATAAAGACCATTCATTTTCTCATTTTTCTCCCAAGGCACTTCCCATATCCTCGCGGGTCGAAGGCCACGACGCCCAGATGTGGTGCCCAGCCGTCCAGCTGCGCCGAGAAGTCCGTGAGCGCGGTGCCCATGGCGCCCGGCAAACAGATCACTGGACAGCCTGGTGGAGAAGCGGAAGTGGCTGGATCCGAAGAATTTTGACTGGATTCCGAAGAAACAAACAGAGGTTGAAGAACCCTATACTACAAATAACATATATATATATATATATTATAATGTATTATATAGAGACCATCCCAAAGATGCTCAATGATGCTCAGGTGACGTGTCCTATTTACGGTCACTTGACCTCTCTAGGGTCTCTTGGAATGGCAAGAAATGAACTTGGATGTCTTCTGCCAAAAAAGTGTAGAGGCGCTGCATGGGATGGAGCTGTAAACGCATCTAAACACCCCTGTAAGGACTTCGACGGTCTATGGACAATGGAGATGGAGGTGCTTGGAGCTAAATGATCTGTGGTGAGGTCTCGTATGGTCTTGTGGTACTCTGTCTTAGGAGCCAGTGGTTAGGAAACTCCATGTAGCTCCGTGGCTCCTTGTTTAAGGGGTAATATGGATACCCCCAGCTCCGAATCGCTCCCTCCTGACCACCAACTGGGAGCTGTTAGTAGCGTCTCCTTACTAATTAGTAGCGATGCCCTTGTTACTAGTAGCTTGTTGCTGCTAGTAACACTACTACTAGTAGCTGGAAGCTACTACTAGTCACTAGTCGAAGTATTCGACCAATTCCTCGCCCCTGATTTCACGTGATTTCCGCCTTTGGCCACATCTCCTCGGGTGACGACATACCTCGCTTCCAAGGTTAGAGCGAGCATCGCCCGAATCAACTGACATTCATAGGTCAAGTGTGGCCAAATATCTAGCAGTACAGTAATATCTAGCTTATTTGTTTACACGTGTGGCTTCTTGTGTATGTCAATGTACAAGTAAAGTGACTCCTATTTGTTACTTAGTAACTGCCAACACCACTTCATTTCAACCTCTTGGAGCAAGACATATGAAAGATGACGAAAGCGTCAAAAAACGACCTGCAACATGCAACTTGCAAGCCCTGTCAAAGAGTGACACTCCACTCTTTTTAGGCCTGAACCAGCTTCACAAGCTTAAGGCTTTTTCAACAAAGATTCCACGTGCACAAGAGGTTAAAGTGGATGAAGAAAAACCTTCGAGATTCTTGAACATTTCATGAAGCCTGAACAGGTAACAGGTAACTTTCATTGGCCCATTCGCAAAGAATATGTTCCACTTGCGCGCACGCACACACACGCAAACAAACAAATGAGGCCTTACTCATGGAGCCATATGGAGCCATATGGAACCCGACCCCAGCATGATATGACCGTTTGTCAAGAACGCCCTATCTAACCTATATGTCGTATCCTTGTTGCTTAGGCTTGGAGGAGCCTTTTGAGAGCCATTTGGCGCAGCTTGGTCTGCTTCTCCCTCCGGAGTGGTCAAGACGCAGCTTACGTCCATTCACCTCCACAAACTGCTCGCCAAACGCCACGCCACGTGCGTGCACGGGTGCCAGTTGGCGGGTCAGCAGCCGGAGGCGCTGAAAAGCGCTCATAGGTGCTATGAAAGGCTAGGGAAAAATTAAGTGTTCAAGCCTGTTGCAGCATAATCTTCTAGTATTTGGTCTTCCAATTTGGTTGGAAGGAAAAACAAGAACAGGCCTGCTGAAGACATGAAACAGCTGTCCAAGAAATCGGCATCGAAAGGCCATCTTCGTTTTGAGTGCAATTTGTTGCGAGAATGTCTTTCTTGAGCCAGCGACAAACTAACTAAACATCAAGGTTCAACCAATTCCGTCAAATCGACACCGGCGCTCTGCTCGGGTGTGGCGAAAGCTTAGATTTCCACAAAGAGTATCAATCGTTTGATATGAGTACCCACCCTCAATGAACTCCCCACTGATTCGTTGAAGAATTTCCCGCCCCACCTCGGTGACCAAACGAGAGCAAATCAAGTGAAAGACCGCCAAGTCAATGTTCTCTGAGCAAAGAAGGTCATCCTGCGATGACATATTCGTGGTCAAACTGTGGTGGGAGATATGACCGTGACACGGCAGCTGTACCTTTGTTATTAATAGCTCCCAAATGTTTCTAGATCACTCATGATCATTCCATGATCTTGTCAGATTTGACTATCCGAGAACAGCGTGCATATGCGTGCATTAATCAAGAAGCTTGAGCAAAAACTCAGCCAACGAATCTAATTATGCGCTTGCACTGGCCAAAGCCGCGTTCATTAAACCTCCTGTGTTTCTTCACATCTTATTCAATATCACGATGCCTAAAATCACTCGACCCAAGCCAACACCTCTCTGAGAGGTCTCCTCTGAATTTGCGAAGTCCTTTCAATTTGAAGGACGGAGTAACCCGACAACCCAACAACCATCTGCGTCATTTTGCTCCTCGTCACTGGCCTCCTCGGAGCCTCAATCGATTGCTCAAGGGTCAACACTCATCAAATAGGGTCTCTGGTTACTCTGGTTCTTGTTCAACCGGACCAAATATGAACACCTCAAGAATGAGGGCTCAGGCCGTGTCCCTCGGCCACGTGGACCGTGGACCAGTTACTTGGCTTGCCAGTGTCTGGATCACTACACTCACTGCCCCCTTGCTACTCGCCGTCTGCTGACTTTCAGGGGTTAGCTGTTGAGGGACACACGAAGCACCCTTCGTTTTACAGAAGGCCCATGTAAGTACCATCACCTTGCCGGTTCCACATAGCGCACAGTAAATATTATATATCCTCCTGGTTCATCCTTCTCCTAAATTCCAAGTGTTCCAGAAGTTGCCTCACAACAGATTGCCATCGGATCATTGCTTGAAGCCTTTTCAGCAGGTTCTCGTGCACATTGTGACCAGGGACCGGGTTGGTCTGGACAGATTGGGGATTCGGACAACGGATGACCATGCACCAAGCAGGACGACCGCTGACGGCCCCGACGTCAGTTGACAAAGACCATGGAGCCCGCTGGGCCTCCCACTTGAACCGCTACCATCTGCGAAGCTGGAAGAGCTTGAATTCTCGGGCTCCTCGCTGGGTCGATGATAAAACATCACGAGATCGTGATGTGAAAACACGAGAACATGACACTCTCGCAATGTGGCAACAGTAAGGAAATCATCTTCCGCTCCATTCAGTGAATTGCCGCGTTAGTTTGGTGGAAGGTGACATTGCCCGAGGACGACCACTACTAACCAGCTAGGAAAGGTCTTGAACAAGTGCTCTTCCCACTACTGAAAATGGCTCATTCAGGGATCTCTCATCATGTGATGAGCCTCCAACCTTGAGGCGTACAGGCCCGCAGCTCTCGTACTGCGCGACGACCTTCCCATCCCGCGCTCGCTTCTGCGGCCTTCCCAGGCTTCAAGAGGATGCTCTGGTGCTGCATTCTTGCCTCAAACGCTTGGATGGTGGTTCTTAGGTGGGGAACTTGACCAATCCCTGCAGAGGTGTGGTTCTGGAGTCAAGAAGCTGGATGCGTTCCCCTGGCTCCGTGCCTCCTTCTGGGAAGAATCTCCAGATTCAATACCAACGATAGGCTTCACAACTCAGAAGATAGGCTGGCCGTGTTCGGAAACCATCCCTTCCAAGCACCAGCGTCTCAGGCCCTGAGGCCGTGGCGAACGCTGCCAGATTGGGGACATGAACCACGGTACCTGTCGCTGCAATGCTGGATTGCCTTGGACATCGTATCCGCCATCTCCAATGAGTTTGGCAGCTTCGTTGGCCATTCTGAACGCCTCCTCGTCCCCCAAAAAATAGACACCTTGTGGATCCCGGCGCTTTCCCTCCGCCCCTCGTCCGCCCCTCAGACCTCCCGTCTCGTCTTGTTCGCCCCGGTCTGACTTCGGTCGAACGCGTCGAGGACCCATCGGCACTGAAGCGACGTTGCTTGGCCGGGAAGCTGGTCGCGACGGCTTCGCCTTGGTCAAACGACTGGAGGGTCCCGTCGTGGGGGTTCCACGAGTGGACTCCGTGAGGGAAGAAATGGAAGACTCCATGGTCGAGGGAAGACGAGTCGGCCCAGGTGACATGAAATACACGCTTGAGGTAGATTTATGACATTCTATTGCTATAGAGGATTGAAAGGAAACAAAGAAGTGTTTCAACAACGTTTCGGGATGCTCAAACCTAGCTGGACTGAGGCAAAGGCGGGCCTCTTCCACCTGTTCCGCAGTGGCCTGCTGAAATTCGTGGTGGGGTCCCAGCGAGATAAGATGGGAACGATTCATCGAAAAGACTGGAGACTGCCACTCCGATTGGACAAATACCATATATGATATATCATGATATGTCATGATACTGTATGACCTCATCACTTTCAAGTATCAACATGTGCCTCCACTCCTATCTATACCTATGCCTGCCTTGATGCCCAAACTCCGCAGGGTTTGCACACAGGCCTCTACCTGCCAGAGATTGAACGTTGCGAAGGGCACGGTCGGGGATGGTAGCCCCATTCCACACCAAGGACATTAATTAATTCATCCTATTCTCGACCTGATCTCTCCTTCATCTAAACCAGTGCAAGGTGTAGCATGATGGCCTTCACAGAGATCTACCATGGGCGGACACCGTGTGTTGAAACATTTGGTACGAGTACTGCCAAGCTGCTTCAAGGAACCTTTCACCGGGCTTCAGTGCACGGTGAAAAGCCAAAGTCCAGGCCGTCAGCTCCTGGATGATTCACGGAAGCAGATTGCAGGATTTGATGGGAAGAACATAAGGGAATCAACAGTTGAATCCTTTAATTTCCTTGCTGTTTGAGGCTTATTTGAGAGACCCTGATGAATGGGTCTTTTCGTTGCAAAAGAGAGGGGTCTTCTGAAAAGCAACTGTACTCGCCCACGCTCTTTTTCCACTTGAGGCAAAGTAACGAAGCGCATACCCGATTGACCTGGTTTCTGGTGTCGGGTCTTCGCTTGATGAACCTGTGGATCTGTGAGATACACTGGATGATCCGTCCACTCCTGTGCTGACTGAAAGCTATCAGCCTTGACAAAAATGCATTGAACGCACGGCCAAAATGTAGCTTAAATGCTACAGCTCGGGCTCCCAAATTCTTGCCTTTACACGTGGGATTCCACTGAGGTAAACTCTCACTGTTCAGCATACAAAGAATGCGTACATCATCCAGCACGGATGGAGCTTCACCCCCCATCTCTGCATTCCAATGATCAGCAATGCTTCTTGCAATCAATCGAACTATAGGACCGGAAATTGTGGATCTCAGCAAAAACTTGAAACACCCTGCATCAGCCACTTCCGACTCAAGTGGCTAACGAGCAACGATCTGCCGAGCAAAATTCATCCACGCGCCTCTCTTCGCAGGCGTGCAGTGGGGACAAACGGTAAAATGCTCCATGTAAATTGATTGCTTGTACTGGCGCAAGCTATTGACGTGCGCTAGCCGTGGTGCATCCGATCCTCTTGGAGGCCAATCACCATGGACCATGGAGTTCAAGTCCCTTGATCGCTCTTGAAAAACCAATGCAATCACAACATTGAAATCCAGTCATCACATCCTGCTGGAGCAAATAGTGCAATGCTCAAAATGAACAAACCCGTTCCAATCTCCGATCAACCGAGTCCGCTCTTTCACAGGCGCTGCTGCGTATTGCGACTCGTCTTTCAGCCTTCGAATTGCACTCTCGAAGCATCGGCTTGCTCGGGAACTCTGGGCTTTTCAGAAACACTGTTTTGCCCCAAAGAACTGGATTCTCCAATGGGCACTTCAGCCCTTGACCCTTGGACCTTCTTGCTCTAGCAATGCACCGGCTACTGCGGCATCTTCCATCACCACCCAACTAGGTCAGATCCATCACGACCGTAGCCTTTCTTCTAAAGCTGCTTCTTTAGTTGCTGATATGACGGGATCTTCAATCCCTTCGGGCACATGCGCCTCACCGCGGGCACCAAGTGCTGATCAACCATCTCGGCCTGCGCCGTAGCTTCCTGGGATGATCCATGTGGCGTGGTTGCTCCCACAGTATGACCCTGCCCCGAACTTCAGACTGAATGTCCCGGCGTAGCTCTAGGCATCCAAGGAGATTGGCAGGATTTTGAACCAAAGTCATCTGAAACCTGCCGAACTTTGGTCCCGAGATGCCCAGCATTTTTCAGCGCATGCCAGGTCACTTCCAATGCATCCCGTTCCTCTGCAAGAAACTTTGCCATCTTTCTTTCAAGATGCCACTTCACCTTAGGCGACTCAACATCCCTCGCTTCCGCTGAAGCTCCCCTCTGGGGTCTGGGGTTCTCTGGGTTCTGCTGGGATACGGTTTGCAAAGGCGCTACTTCTTCTCGGCAGCGTCCTCGGCCGCCGTCCTTGCTCTTTCCTTCCCCCTTGCGGCCCTTGGCTCCGAATTCATGCTCCCCTTAGCCCTTCCGATTTCAATGGACTTTTCCTTTCCATTCGGACGGTCCTCGGAGCTTTTCCTCCCGCTCCAATTCTTTCTGAATCATTGCCTCCTCCCCCTGTCCAGGAGGGCTATGTCGTCTGGCTCCACAAGCTCGAGGAAGTGAACCGTTGTTGTCTTGCACGCTTTTCTCCAGAGCCTTGACTCCGGGCAATGATGTCGGCGGCCTGCGCTGACTTGTTCTCCCAGTAGGTCCAGGACTTCAACTCTCTCCCGGATCGTGGAGTCCATTTCGCCTTCAGGTTCGGGACCTAGGCCACGTTGTAGTATAGGCAGGACACTGCGTTCGCCTCGACTCTTCCCGTTTTTGTCGCAAGGCCCCCAACGGGGACGCGCCCCGCTTCGCCCATGGTATGGAGGAGACGGGCCGCGAGCCGGCCGGGGTGCCGCTGAGCGTAACGCTGCAACTTCAGAAACAGCGTCATCCCCGCGGGGGCCTTTTGAAAATCCGATTCGGAATAGGCTTTCGATCTGTCTTTCGGCCTTTTGTTCTTCTTTTTGCTCCTCTTCTTTTTCTTGTGGCCTTGCCTCTTTCGGCTCCGTGACCTGGAGGGATCTGACAGAGAACTCCGTCCTTTGCTCCTCTTCTTCTTCTTCTTCTTCTTTTTTCCCCTGCTTCTTGAAGTTCGCTTTTGGTTGTGCCCTGAACTCTCGTCAGACGATGAGCCCTCATTGGAATCCGGCTTCGAAGACGATCCACCGGGTTCCGGGCTAGTCTTCACCTTCCTCGTGCTTTCTCGCATCTCACCTGAAAAGCGGGGCTTCCCTTTCCACTCTTCTTTCTTTCTCGTCCACTCTTCTCCTTCTTGCCTGCACCTTCCTTCTCTTCCTTGATGCCTTCAGCTGCTTTCACCTCCGCCTTCAGCGATATGAGGTCTCTGGCCAACTCTGTCAGCCTTTCTTTTTCTTCTCCAATTTCTTCCGACCCTTTCTTCTCTGTCAGGCGCCTTCTCCTTCCCGTCATCGCCCGAGTCATCCCAGGGCAAGTCACCAGCTCCTCGAGCGCCTGGCCTTTCCTTTGAGACTCCTTTGAACTATGCCTGCACATGCCCATGCGTATCCTCATCTAGGATCCCTCCGCTGTTGTCACCAAGCTCTTCTTCCTTCCATTGTCGCCACTTGCCCCAGTGGACCATGTTCATGTTCCGCCCTTGCAGTCGGCGGGAGGACCTTTGCATATATGATATGCTCCATCCACCATGGTGACTGCCCGTCTGGAGCAGTCACCACGTCCCCATGCAGAGTCCTCCCGGTCTCCCGGGGCGAACAGGCGCTTCACCCACAAGACCACCGTGCCTTGTGGGTCGCCTCCATCGTCATAGACCTCGCCCTCCATGTAGGTCTCCTTTGTGGGACCCTCGAGGGAATTTCTTCCATGCCGTTTACCAGGCATCTCTTTTCACCGCCTCCCCAGGGGAGGGTGGGCAAGGCTGGATAGCCAAACACTAGAGGCAAACAAGTAACTGACTAACTATGATATAACATCGCACCCATCTTCATTCGCTACACTAGGTGCTGCTAAATCCGATATATATATATATAATATGTATGACATCAAGATACACTTTAAACATTTTTTAAACACATATATCAAAACAGTTGACCCAAAAGTCTGTCTGGTGGTGAGGCGGTCCTGATATGTTCTGATATGGTTGTAACATTTTGTAACATCTTGTCATACATAGATCATCCTCAATTACCCTCCCTGAAACAATCATGAAAGTGGAACATAGGTCCCTGGAAGACCATTTTCGGCTACAAGGGGGATCTGCTCATTGATTGTTGGAGGAAGGGCGTGGATTTGCATAGAATGATATCGGCATCAGTGTTTGTTCAGCATTTGCCTGCAGTTTCAACTCTCACATTGTGTCAGACATCATGCACAACATGGGGCAATTCTCCACAGACTCAAAGGAGATGTGTCCCACGTGTCCCGTCCATCCATCCTCCAGGAAAAGCTTCGCTAAACATCTAGAAACCAAACAAATAGTGCGAGCGCTTCTTCAAGGAAGCTCACCCCCTTCCTTTGAAGAAGCGAAAGCTATCCTGCGTCCTAGGTAGTAGCTACGTAAGCTATCTCTCCCTTACTTAATTAATTAAGTAGGTGCCTAGTCAATTAAGTAGGGAGGGGGGAGAACTAGCGGGCTAAGAACAAAAAGACCTCTCGAGTCGTCCCGTCCTTCTCCTGGAACTTCCGCACCAACTTCCGCAGCTCCACGGAATCCAACGTGCCCGATTCGTCCACGTCCACCTGCCGCAGCTGCGCTGGTCGCCCCAAGGGGGTGGCCCCGGGGGTGGTGGGTGGATGACACTCTTGGATGACACTCTGTCGCGTGTTTCTGGATAGTCACCCCAACAAAACTGTCCACTGAATGCAGGTTGCTGCATCAAAACAACAACACTTCTATACTTCTGTTGGCTTGTGAAGGTTCACGGCATCTTCGATGTCAAAG